ATAGGGAGTACAGTACGGGGCTGGGATGCTTCCTAGCGGGGCACCAGTGTTGAGGATTATTGTGGACGAGGTGCAGTTGGCTATCTTCACTGCTGTCTGTGGGTCAGGAAACTGAGGATCCAGTTGCAGAGGGGCGGAGCCGAGACCTAGGTCTCAGAGTTTTGAGGTCTGTCTAGAGGGATTATGGTGTTGAAGGCATAGCTGTAGTCGATGAGTAGGAGTCTGACATAGGTGTCCTGGTTGTCCAGGTGTCCCAGGGATGAGTGGAGGTCTAGGGAAATGGCATCCGCTGTGGACCTGTTATGTCGGTAGGCAAATTGCAGGGCATCAAGTTAGGCTGGGAGAATAGAGTTGATGTGAGCCATGACCAGCTTCTCCAAGCACATCATGATTATGGAGGTCAGAGCCACTAGGCAGTAGTCATTAAAGCACGTTGCACGTGTTTTCTGTGGTACTGGGATGATAGTGTTCTTCTCGAAGCAGGTGGGGACTTCGTCTTGTAGGAGGGAGAGGTTGAAGATGTCAGTGAATACCTCCGCCGGTTGGTCTGCACAGGATCTAAGTGCACAGACGGGGACTCTGTCCAAGCCTGTCACTTTCCTCAGGTTGACTCGCAGGAAGATCGATCTGACATCTGCAGCAGTGACGGGGGGAACAGTGCATCCGGGGCTGTCGAGGCAGGTGACACTGTGCCGCTGGCATTCTGTTCAAACCGAGCATAAAAAGCATTGAGTGCACCAGGGAGGGATGTGTTTTTGCTGACTTTTGGCTAGCAAAATGAGTTTGGAGAAATTGCAAAACATTTTCAAAGATGTTCGAGTGTATCAAGTGGACGTGTTTCTATCAGGAAAGCTGGATAAAAATTAAGCTTTTTTATTTGGATAAAAGAAAGCTATAGTGAGAACTCTTAAGAGATCAGAAATTATGAAATGATTTCATAAAGTGAACATAGGGAATCTTTATTGGAGGAATTTTTGGTAGCATCCAGAACAAGTGGCATAATTATAGAATAACTACTAACTGACTGCCTTCTCAAGGGTCTATTAGTGATATAAAATGACTGCTGCTCTTGTCAGTAATGCTCAAGTTCCAACAATGAATAAAAATAATGAATGAATGAATGTGGCAGGAGTTTTGCACAGCAAGTGGCAAGAATGCAAGCATTTCTGCCATATGAAATAATTGAAGTAGATAGCATTGATGTATTAATGGGATGCTTGATGCATACAAGAGGGAGAAGGACTTACCACTACATATGGGGCAGGGAGGGAAGAATTAGAATAGGAGAAGCTCATGGAACATAGAAACAAAACCAGAGAGCTCAGTAAAACACTAAACCAGAGGGTACATAAGTTAACGGATACCTAATCACATTTCATCTCAGGCCAGTTGCTTGTTTTGATCATCATAACTTTAGCTAACACCATTTTGTCCATCATAAGTTGATACAATTTTTATTGTTCCATGCGTTTCAAATTAAAATGTTTTATCATAAAGCAACAAAGTCACCTTTGGTTTTTGCGCAGGGCTATTCTGCGGAGAGCATATAACAAACTTCAGCATGAATTTAAAAAGTACATCGTACTCTAATGTTACTATCCTCCACTGATAGTGCGTAGACATGTTCCAAATGGGAAACAGATTTACCCATGATATACAGTCAGAGTCATAAAGCTGTACAGCAAGAGAACCAACCCTTCGGTCCAACTCATCCATGCCAAGCAGATATCCTAAATTAATCTGATTCCATTTGCCAGCATTTGGCCCATATCCCTCTTAAATCCTTCCTATTCATATACCCATTCAGATACCTTTTAAATGTTGTAATTATACCAGCCTCCTCCACTTCCTCTGGCAGCTCATTCCAAACATACACCATCCTCTGCGTGAAAAAAATTGCCCCTAAAGTCCGTTTTAAATCGTTCCCCATTCACCTTAAACCAATGCCCTCTAGTTTTGAACTCCCCTGCAGCGGGAAACAGACCTTGGCCATTCACCATATCCATGTCCATCATGATTTTATAAACCTATAAGACAGTTCAGGGAAAATAGCTCAGCCTCTTCCTATAGCTCAAACCGTCCATAGTGGCAACATTCTTATAAATCTTTTCTGAGCCCTTTCAAGTTTCATCAAATCCTTCCTATAGCAGGGAGACCAGAATTGAACGCAGTATTCCAAAAGTAGCCTAACCAATGTCCTGTACAGCCGCAACGTGACCTCCCATCTCCTGTTCTCAACACACTGACCAATAAAGGCAAGCATACCAAATGCCTTCTTCACTATCCCATCTACCTGGGACTCCACTTTCAAGGAACTATGAACCTGCACTCCGAGGTCTCTTTGTTTGGCAACATTCCCCAAAACCTTACCATTAAGTGTAAAAGTCGTGCCCTGATTTGCCTTTCCAAAATGCAGTGCCTCACATTTATCTAAATTAAACTCCATCTGCCAGTCCTTAGCCTATCAGCCCATCTGATCAAGGTCCCGTTGTACTCTGAGGTAACCTTTTTTGCTGTCCGCTACACCACCAGTTTTGGCGTCATCTGCAAACATACCAATCATACCTCCTGTGTTCACATCAAAATCATTTACATAAATGGCAAAAAGCAGTGGACCCAGCACTGATCCTTGTGGCACACTGCTGATCACAGGCCTCCAGTCTGAAAAGCAACTCCCCACTACCACCCTCTGTCTCCTACCTTTCAGCCAGTTCTGTATCCAAATGGCTAGTTCTCCCTGTATTCCAAGTGATCTAACCTTGCTAACCAATCTACCATGCGGAATCTTGTGGAATGCTTATTGAAGTCCATACAGATCACATCCACCACTCTGCCTTCTTCAATCCTCTTCATTGTTAGTTTCCAGTTCTCTGTAATCCTCCCATTTTACATTGCATATGCTCTGTTCGAAGCGTAAGAACTTGTGTTAGCTTGCATAGTTTATCAAGTCGCAATTCTGGTTGTGTGCCTTCTGCAATATTGGGAAAACTGTAAAGACTGCATTGTGTGAACAAACTTATTATGTGGTCTGCTGTCTTGGGCAACAATATATGGTGCTGCTATAGTACTGAGTTACAGTATTACAGAAGACGTTAATACAGAAGAGGGAAAACCTCTCCAGGTAACACTTGGCACCACTTGGGGAGGTAGCACCACTTCATTTGTACTTTAGTATTACTTTTGAAAGTAGTATGCTTATCATCAAATATTTTAGTGATGGAACTCTCTTTTGATTAAATCTATGATTATGCGTATTAAGCTCTTAGATCTAGCTAATTATTCTTTACTCCAAAATTTCTTCTGACTCTTCCACCCTTATCCTACTCCTACTATAGGTGTGATTTGTTGGGATGTATATCATTGTGTAATACGTTGTCTCGTGCTATTTTTTGTATGTGAGCCTTAATTTTATTGAATTATATGGCCCCCTCACTGGGTGGCCTTCATGCAAGCTGTCCAACAGCACAATTTTTGGGTTGTGGGTAATGCCAAATTTCGTTCATCCATCTTCTCCCCAGTTGTTATCCCATCACCTAAAGGCTGTAACCTCCTTTGATCTCAATTTTGAGGGTAGGAGGAAGGATTCAGGGAGACAGGAGCGGATTGGCAGGTTATTCTCCTTAGATGGGGGGAAGGAAGCACTTGTGAACCTCTGTTACAATGAACTGTTCTAAACATAATACGAACATTTTTAATTTGCCAGAAATTTTTTTTTTCTATTTTCTGTAATCTTCCCTCTAAACCATTTTGTAAACTATTATAATCTACTTTGTAAACTATGGCTGTATAAATCTGCCATATTCCATAGACTAAATTCGATCTGAAAGTAGACTCAGCTTCAGTGTTTCTGCCGATATTGCTCTTGAACTAGCTATAATGAAAATATACAAGATTGCCTCTCTGGTTAACTTCTCCTTTGAGTATCTCTTCATTATACTCCAAGGATGTGTATAGACCATAGTGGATGCCCTTTACTTCAGGGATATTCCATGTAAACGTCCACGAGCTTTAATGAACATTTTCAAAATATTTTATGGTTCTCTCAACTGAATATCAGCCTTTCAAATCCCAATTATGTAGAAAAGTTTAGTAAATACTGCAAAATATTAATAACTAAAGTGAAGAAAAGAAATGTGTTAACATAAATAATATAGCAAAGTAATTCTGCAGCGCAGTACGTAGTATGCATTTAAGTAGAAGTGGCTGAGTACAGCAGCAACATATCGTGTCATGGTCAGCACTGTCCTAGCTTGCTCGTACCCTACTAGTCTGACATTCCACATGTCTGGAAGGCTGTTTTTGTTGGGATGGTTACCAGTGAACCAGCATTACTGTAATCCCAGAGCCAAGATCTAAAATGTTAGATTTTCTTCATAGAACAGAAATTTGCATAGTTATGATGGAAGATGCTGCTGCCTGCTGTTTTCTTTGCAAATAGCAGTCCGCAGTATTAATCATATAGCATCAAAGCCACGTAAAATCCTGTATTGAAAT